CCCCTCCCCCGGCCCTGGCGCGAGCGAGGAAATGTGATTTGCGGCAATTTCATTTGAACAGGACGGCGCAAAACGAGAAGCATTCGGACCCAAGTAGACGGAAAGTCAAAGAAGAATGTGTGTAAAACTGTAAAACTACACTGCCCAGCCAAAAAAAGTAACCACTTTGATTTAACTAGGCCAGTAGGTAAGGGCATTCTACTGGTGAATAATACCCCTGCATTATAGCAACAATAATAATAATAATAATAATAATAATAATAGCAATAATAACTGGGAAGGGGGGCGCGGCTGTTCTTATGTTCTCTGAGGGGAGGCTCACCTTCCCACACTTTGAAAACCCCTGCGCTATTCAAAGCCACCAGTCTCCATTGACAAAAAGAGTCATTATACTTAGAAGAATACAGGTGTTGCTGGTCTACCGCTGCATCGATTGGTTGTTTGTGTGCCTTTTAATGAGCCTTTGATCAATCAAATGAACCAAAGTGGCTAAATTATGTTTTACTGCTTCCTCCGTCCAGAGCAGTACATCACTGCTTAGCTTCCAGCTGGTACTCCTGGCTGTTTTTACTAAATAAGGGCATCTGGCCCAAATCTAAAAACACACAGACTATAGTAGTACCTCACAAAACCCCACTTCAACCCAAACTATCCCTTTAAAGCTACATTTGTGTTTTCAAATGCTAGTAATACTGCTCCCAGCATGCTTTGCAGCACCAATCAGCCTTAAAGAGACATGAGCACTGTTAATCCACCTATGAACAGACCTCTTCACTGCTGCCATGACAACAAGTAAACAGTGGACACCTCACTGCCAGCCCAATAATCATGAGCACATTGTTTAAGGATGGGGGGGGGGGGTTAAATTGGTGTTTGTGTTGAAGCAATTTGAAAAATGTCCAGTAATCAACGCACAGTAACAAACACTTGGCCCCTTTGTCAGCAGTGAACAATACAATGTTAATGGCTGGTCAGTGATGTAGCCTTGATGCATAAACAACAATAATGTGGGCATTATTCAAGAAGCAGACCCCAACAATACAACAACAGACACTCACAGCCCTCCATCCAGCCCTCCATCCATCCATCTGACCACCAATGAATGAACACTCAGTGCACTTAGCCTAGGATAAATGCAGGAATTGGGTCCATCTATCCACACAAATAAAATGGGATTCCAAAAATAACCTTACGCATGGACTGAACTGGGCCAAGTGTAGACACTTTTTTTTTTTCTTCTCACACATACAAATTATGACAACGGAAATTGTCCGTCACAAATGTGTTTACAATCCCTGAGAATGGAGATTATGTTTCTATAAACTCCATACACATTTCCCCAGATAACTTTGTAATAGGATTTCAGGGCATCCACACTGTTGCCCTGTCTGAAGGCTTGCTCTTATGCAATAATGACCAAACACATCGCGTCTGACTACTGACCATCTGAGACATTTACATAATTGCTCAGTTACAGTCTCACAGGACACAGTAGTAGTCTAATGCGGCGTTAGTGAGACTAAGAGTAGCCCTTCACTATGACCTTTCTCCCATGCTGCTGAAAACAGGGAAGAGTTTGAAGTTGATTAGCCTGATCAACAAGAAAACAAAGAGGGGTGGGGTGTAAAGAGTTACTTCTTGGTGCAGAACAAATAATAACATTTAAAACCCAATTTTCAACATTATAATTGCCTGTGGCATTAGATTAGTGTAAGACCGGGATGTACATTCCCTACTTTTTTTGGTTAAAAGGTAATAACTGATAATAGAAATAAATTAATCTGTTTATTTTACTATGGATCTTTACAAACAGGTTAGGTTTCAAAAGCAGCATTTAGTCCTACAATCAGAAAAATAAAGTGTGTATATACTGATAATCCCATTGCAGCCCTCAAATACAAATCTTAAAAAATATATTCCAAAACTAAATATTTTTTCATAATTTGTCAATATGATATTTTGTTGTTATGAGAGCAGATTTCAAAGATATGAGACATACACAAACAGCTCTTAGTGATAACTCACTACAGATAATAATACAGGATCTATAAGCTGATAATTTGCTGCATCACCACACTGCAGATCCTTTAAAGCTGGGACCAACTGGTGCTAAGCGGGAAGGTGATGGGGGTAGACGAATCAGGAGGGAAACAGGGTCTTGGGCACATGGGGGCTAAAGGGGGGTTGTGGCTGCATTAATGCAAATGTGCGTCTTCTGTTTTCCTTTTTTACGAGGAAGTGCGTGTAACATGCGTTATGCCTGCTTGCCTGTGTTTTCATGTGTTTTTGTGCGTGAGCAGGAGTGAGCCCAGCGTGGGGGCTAGTGTCTGGAGCGTGTAATTGAAACACAGTCCCATGCAGAGCCACACACTGAACCCACTAATCTCCTCCTGACAAAGTGGCTTAGCTTCTATGGGGTCATATGGCACAGCGAGACAGCTTAAACACAACAGAGAGCGCGGGCCGACCTGCCCCGGCCAGCAGACCCTCTGCGTTCAACAGGTCACACTTCAAAAATCAATTCAACCAAGATTCTATATATATATATTACTGACAGAAATAGGTTTATGCTTATCTGTAAACACGTGCAAACAAGGACTAGTAAACTAAAGTGATGAGCAAATATTACAGGAAATAAAACATCCAAGTCATAGAACCAACTACTTCCCCGGGTCCTGAAAAGATAAAGGAATTCTCCAGTGATAACATACACCATATGCAGGACAATAGTTATTATGATTACACCAGAGCCTGAGGGGAAGTAAGAAACAAGAGGAGTCAAACACTCAAAAGTGAACTGTATGTGCAGTCACACAGTATAAACACACCTCCTATGTGACTGCCATGCCACAGAAACAGGATATTATGTATTTTGACAATTCCCCCAGGGTAGTTTTAGAAATGGTGGTCAGTGAGAAGTGAGAAACAGTAAGAAACCTAGCACATTTTCTTTCCATCTCTGTTGCATAGGTTTTTTTTCTGTGTGTTTTCCTGCACTTGCAGACCCTTCTAAAGTAAATTCTCAGCGAGGCCGCTGACCTTTAACTATGTGGGTCAGAGAGTGACACCAAAGAACTTAGCCAGGGCGAGCGGGGGTATTGTTTACAATGACAGCTTTACAAGGAAAAAAATACATGAGCAACATACTGCCTCAAAGTAATACTGTGGTGTTTTATTGCGGTATAGTTTTGATTATCTTAACAAATAAGCGCAAAGCTTAAAACCATATTTAGTTGCTTCTCATATGTCTGAGCTATGTTATTCATAACTAACACGAGAGCTTTGTTTGTATATCCGCAGTAAAGCAGAGCAGACTTTACAAACAGGTGGAAAGTGGCTATTTGTTCAAACACTTCCACTGAGCTTACCTGTCCTCTGCAGGAACAGTCTGAGTAGAGGGCTGGCCACGGAGATGGCTTTGTGGTAGTTATCGTCATTGTTGATGGGCAGCAGGTCCCCGTGGACGTCGGCGTAGCCCACCAGGAGCTCCACGTTGGGGATGCGATGCACATGCTGCAGGAGGCCGTAGAACTCATCGAAGCGGCCCGGCTTCGACCGATCCAGTGAGAACCGACGAAACTCTGCACCAAACTGGGATGGAGGAGAGAGGCAGACATGTGAGCACAATTATAAAACATGTGGGTATGAAAAAGAAAGAAAAAGAAAAGATGCAATATGGGCAAGATGTAAACAATGTGTGCAAACAATATTAAGAAATATTTAAAAAAGGACTGAGTTGTTCTGGCTCTGACTGATGAGGGCTGCACAATGAATCAGATAATAAAAGCATACATGATTGTGGTTTCCCACAATGAAATGAAAATGATTGAATATTAAAGTTTAAAAGGTGTGCTCCTAAATGTTGCAGCTGCTTACCAGAGTAGAAGAGTCATATTTAACAGAGAGCACGGGAAAAGCATACAGTATGAGCCTTATTCTTATTCTGATGCAAAATATACATTAGCAGTAATGTAGCACGTTTTCAACATGGAAGTGATACAACAACAAAATAATTAAATGTAATATTGGTGATCAAAATATTGATCTGGATAATCCTGGTCAACTTGTTAGCCATCATTTTGCAGCTATACTGATAAGTACACACTGTTCTGGTAGCCTAGCTAATTTCAAAACCGCTGTATGCAAGAGTCTGTCATCCATGTGGACAACACACACCGCATGTGATGAATTATTAATGTGTACTTTGGGATGTGTGTATCTCTACGTCTGTGTTTGCGGATGCAGTATGTTCAAGGCTGAACAGCATTGTCTAGTCAAGCTGTCTGACAGGATGTTTGGTAGTGGTAACAAAGACTGTCAGCCCCTCAAAACACATAGTTATCAGTTTGGTCTCACTGGATCAATAGAGGTAAATGCCTAATTTTTAGGCAACCCTTTTGATGAGACACTGAGCCTAATGTCCCATTGGTGGTGGTGGTGATGAGAAGTGTTGTGGTTACTGTTGCCCAGCACTGACAAAAGATGATCTACAACTCACTGCCAACCTGGACATCTGATGCATTTAGTAGCTACATAGTATAATTAAATTAACTCTAGGTATGGGAACAGGTCCCAATCCCGTTTCCCGCATTCAGACAGGAATAGACAAAACATTTCAAATGACCCTGTAGTGCTGGGTTTGTAAAATAGCAGAACAAAGTAAAAATAATTAGTGTTTTATAACTGTGTGTGAAGTGGTCTGGATGAAGTAACACAGACACACAGTTTGTTTTTATCAACCGTATTGAGTTCCTATAATAAGTTTTGAGCAGTAAAAAGCGCACTGAGACCCGTACCCCAGCTAGATGTACACAGAGAACCATGCCAGGGGCAGGAGGGAGGCACACTGTCGCGGAAGGAGCTATGAGCCTGTCGCAGGCCGTATAACACCTAACGCTCCGGAAAATAACAGGCAGCTAACAACAACTCATACCAGGGTTATTTGACATAATGACAGGCAGTTATTCTAAAACTTGATCTAAACTTTGAGTCAATATTTGATACGGGCAGGGTGGAGCGGCGGAGGTAGCTGTGACAGGTGACACGGGCTCACTGCGGCGTCAGCTGACATAAACTCCACCTTAAAACTTACCCAGAACAACTGAAATATCACTACGCCAGGGTAACATCAAAGTTGTAAGTATGGCTATCTAGCAGAAATGAGTCAGTGTAAGTAAACCTGTATTGGCTAGTTAAAGCTCTAGCTAGTGCCTGTGTCATTTGTGCGACATCATAAACTTGCTATCAAGCCACTTAGCAGGCTAAATTAGCTAAGGTAATCATCTTTGGGGGTAGTTAAGAATACAAATAAACCAGGTAAAGTGAAATATAAGTCTATATTTGTAGCTGTTACCTTGCTCTTCACCTCCACGGCACTCAGAGAACGGTTGCTCGGCACTCGGTGGTTTTTGTTCATGTTTCGCTAGCAGCGGGACCGCCGCCGAAGCACTCACACACTCGCCCTGCTCCTGTCGCGCCGCCGCCGCTGCTCAGTATCCAGAACCTCACGTATCCACCAGTTATTGGTCCAGTCACACGGTGTGTCCCGCGACTTCTCGGCGTCCAGCGGTTTGCTTTATTCCTCCGAGAATGCGACAACGGCTGCCAACCAGCCTAGCTCACCCTGTGAACTTCTCTCCTCTCATACTTGCCGCTGCCAGTGTCGCTGTAGCCCTGCTGCTGTGTGCTGTGTGTCGGGCTCTGCCTCTCTGCTAACTCTGCGTGGAGAGGGGCGGCAGCACCACACTTCAAAATAAAAGTCTTTCTCTCACCCATGACGTCACAATAAGAGCACTTTATCATCCTGCATTTCTGTGGGCAGATAATTCAACTATGTAATACAAATATATTATGAATGGTTTCTCCTATCTATCATCATCCACAACTTCAAGAATAATCGTATTTTTTATTATAAATGATTTAGACATAATGAATGCTCTATGCAAAATATTTATTTTGGGTCAACATCTTAATTGGCAGAGTATGACTGTAATTTAATTAGACATCTTTTGCATTTCCAATAAGATATAAGAAGTAGGCTACGCAAAATGGTACACAATATATATCCAACAAATCCATAATAGTGAAAACAAATGTATTTTAACAGGAATCAAAACACATTTATTTTACAATTGTTTTTATTTAGATTAATAATTGTTTTAAACGTATTAATAATTGTTCTTATTATTCTAAACTAAATATGATGGAAAAATGCATTTGCCAGTTAGTTGTTATTTGGTTATCATAGCGTACTTTGTGTAACATTCGTATATTGTTTACACATGGGGGGAAGTCTTTTTTAATTAATTGTCATGGTGATAAATACAGATAACATAACATTTATTCAAAAGTAAATGTTATAGATGACTGGAACAACTTATCTGCTGTTGCATGGTGACACCTCCTGGCCAGAAGCCATATAGCTCTGCTGATACCTGCCTGACTACACTAAACCATGTGTTTTGTCTCATACTATAAAAGTAGTTGCATAAGTAGATTGTTAAACTAGGAGGATGATCATAACCTTTTAGTATAGGCATATGTCCTAAAGTTTTTCAACCTTGCAGATTGGTTTTCCTCCCGGATAAGTGTGCATTTTCTAAACTGCATGCCTGGTTTTGACTTGATCTATTATTTACCTCAAGTAAATCTCAACTCTGCCTAGTGCATCACAGTTCAATCTTTTTTATCTACTTTAAACACAGCCTATTTGATAACATTAAGTTGTGTTCTAGACCAGGAAAGTATGATTAAAGGTCATTTTAGCTTTTTTTGGCAAACTAATTTAAAGCCAACCTACAGAGTTTGGCCTCAAGCTGCCTGTTTGACACCTAACACACTCCCCTGTTTGTCAGAATTGTATTTATTTATGACAAGACAAAAACATTTCTCTTGGTCTATTTGACACCTCTACCAGACAGGTTAGATTAATGCCTGATATGATAGAATGCATGATTATATGGCTTTGGGATCAAAGATTGCGGTTTTAATGGGTTTCAAAAAAGGAAATTTTTGTCATTCACATTATGACATATTCTGGCATCACACTTTGATATTATGAGCTGAGGTTAACTTACAAAATTGGATAAAAAACAACCCATTAATTCAGCCAAAATGACCGAAAAGGTGAGACTTACGTATGAATGTCAACTACCAGCACAAGCACTGATGGCAGTCTGCAGGAACAACTGAAGAACAGTGATGTCATCCGTCATCCACCATCTCTCATCCACCTGAAAGTAATCTACAATAACCACGTGACATAAACTTACAATGAATGAAACAAAAAATCATTTGAAAATAAAACCTAAAAAAGAACCCAATAACTCAAATGCAATGTTCGTCATTCTAAATCTATATGCTTATCATATGGTTGGCTAAATTAAAGGGCTAGTATGTCGTTTTATTAAAAAAGCTAATGTACATATTTAATAATATCCATTTAGGACTCAGAATGATTATTTGATAGATAGGATAAAGGCTTCCATGCATCAAGAATATGGTTTTCATGGGCACACAATTCCCCCCAGACCTCACCCTACTCATACCTCAGTTGCATATGCTAAAATAGCATGTTATCAGAAAACAATGCTGCATTAAAACTATAGAAACAAGGTAAAATGGTATTTCCAATAAAGCGAATCTATAACCTTTGATGAACACCCGCCACTGTGCGCTGAGTTTTGCCTTTCTCAGATTTTCTTCTTCCGCTGCTTTAAAGCACCAGAAGAGTCAGAAAGAAATTATGCCTATATGACTCTTGTCTGAAATATTGCTTGAGATCCATAAAAAAACATGTGTATTTTATTTCTTTTTCAAGTTACTCGGTCTTAATTCGGTGTGTACTTTGCATCACTTATGAGACAAAATCTCAGAAGTATTTAATCACTAACTGCAAGCTTTGATTCAGAACTTTATCGAAAGAGCTCTCAAAACAACTTCAAGGGCAGAGAACACGTTTATTTCGCACTAAAAATATATTCCCTGGCAGCAGGGTCATGTAGTGACAAAAGAGTCTGTCCTTCAGCTCGACAGAACAGGATCAGCTACAATGCTGAAAAACAAGAACAAGACAGTGCCAGAGCTGCTGCTTTTAAAACATCACATCTGCACAATACAAGTGGTAATTCTAAATATATTTAAATATCCATATTGTTTTTATTTGTCAAGCCAGGTAATGACTGTATCCTTAAATGACCAGAAAACCTGAAATGAAAGACACTCACCAGTAGTTTTTGTTTACAACATTCCTCACTCCCCAATTTTCGGGTGTTCCTCTCCCCCATCTGCTGTGCACACAGCTGTACGTGTCAGAAGTGTCTGACCTCCCTCCCCTGCGTCTCACCGTTCTTTGTGCAATGTGATGCAGCTACCACCGCTTTTTATCAGCAGTAAGAGAGGGGGCCAGTAGCTAACTCAACTTTAACATGGAAGATATGTCAGCGCCCCCCCTGCACACACACACACACACACACACACACACACACACACACGTCCCTTACCCTTCTCTCCCTCTGCCTTTCTCTCTCTCCAGTAAGATGAGTTTCTGCAGCCCTATTCATGAGCCTCATCCCAATACCCCTCCTCGACTCCTCCTTTCCCTCACTCGCGTCCCTTCCTTGCATCTTAGCTCCAACTCCGTAAGATGCGAGCGAGAGACACGAGGAGGTGAAGCGAGGACAGAGGAGTCCTCAGGTATTAATTGGGATGTCCTCGTTCACTCAAACGTCACTCTTAAACGACGTCTGTTAATGATGACATGTGCACAGCTGTATACCCTCTCATCGGGCTTAACTGAATAACCCTTTAGAACCGGCCCATTTCTGGTTAAATATTTATTTGAATGAATGAATCTTTCTCTTGTTAGTCAAGGAATTCAATGTTTGGTGGTTGGTCCTGCTTTTGTGTTCCGTTTTGGTGTAAAATGTAGCAGGGCTACATTTAAATAAAAATATAATTTGTGAAAGCCTTTTAGAAATGAATTGCACATAATAATTCCCACGGAGCTGTGAGCATTTATACATTTATGTGACGCTTTTCCACTCATCTTCCAGTTGTCGGTTCTCCTCTGTTGAAATCGACCAGCTGTGAAGGTGGGGGCGGGGCTTTTATACGCGAGTAGTGAAAACACTTCCGCAGTCTGCTCGCGTGTATACTCCCTTTCGTCTCCTCCCGCATTTAGTATACGTTTACCTAGTACGATTTAGTCACGTCATTAGGGTCACCGGGGTGTGGGTCGAGGTCTTCTTCCAAGTAGTCCTTAAACGATTTGAAGATATCCATCCAAATAATCCTTAAAGTCAATACAAACGACGGGGAGACGTACAAGACTGAAGAGGATTCCAAGGAAAGTTCACCTGAGGGGTCCGCCTGTTAGCGAAAGGAGTGTACTCGAGGGTATGAAGTGGTTAAGGTCTAGGGATCACCGGTCAAATACCAGCTCCAACTACTGTAGGTTACTCCCTTAACCTCCTCATCACAGAGTTGCTAGACATCTTCTGTTGTTCGTACGTAGGTACACGAATGGACAGCGCTTCAACTGTTGTCGGTCTCGCCTAACTACTGCACCCCTTTGTCTCCTTGCAGTCGACATTTTCGACGGGGTAGCTCCTACCTCTTGTGACCGATTCTCCCCGTCTCCGTCGGCAAAAATGCAGACCTGTCTAGTGTTTTTAGACCTTATATAATTCTTTCCGATTTCCGCAGAGTTGAGGGCAGTCCGGTCCACCTGTGATAAGAAATTCATCCAGTTGAAGGTGTGAGAGAAAAGCAGGGCCCGGGAGTCTTAGTTTTTGGAATACAAACAGGAGCAGAATGCTAGCTCTTGGTTGAACGACATCTCGGGTTCTGGTAGGAAGGTGAATGGGCACACTAGCCTCGGAAACGCGAACCGGGTGTCAGCCACCGTTTCGCCGCCGCCCTCCTCTCTGGGACCCACGCTGCTAGTTTGTGGATCCCGTTCACAGGGGTTGTTAGACCGACAAACAAGGTCTCCGAGAAGTGAGGTTCCAGGTAGGTGACCCGAGTGAGTAGACACGGAAAGCACCGGAGGCCCATCATTGTTCCTGTTACAGTCCAAAGTTGTTGACAAAGACCACCGGTCGGGGGTACTCCTTCCTACACCGCGCCTCATACATAACGAACAGGCCACACACGCACATTATTTCCTGGAGCAGAGGTTTTCAGTTCTACCCGAACGAGGGTCGTGCGACCGGGCCGTAAGGGTTTTGCACGAACCAGTGTGTAAAGTTACCTAAAACACTGTTCCTAAAGTTTCTACCGAGTGAAGTAGGGTAACTGGGTTCGATAGGAGAAAGGTTTCAGGTGGGCGTCTTTCCAGTTACTACTTTGGTTCATAAGTCCTAGGTAACCTAAGGGCACTACTTGTAACAAGGCTGTCCCCAGGTGTTAATCAAAGACCTTCCCCTCTAAAACATGTTGAGTAATCCACGGTGGCAGTCGAACAGTAGGTCCTTATAGGTGAGTCAGTTTACCTGTCAGCCTCGCAGACTTGGGTTCTTGATCTCTGCATGCGGATGCAACAGAGCAGAGGCCTTGGTCTGGGTGGACCTCACTCGGTGGAAGTGTACCCAGGCTCAAACGGGATGTTATGAGAAGGATGGCCAGTCGGTGTCCAGAGAAAGGTAAGGTAACACAGGTTACCCAAAAGGTCGGGGGAAGCGAAAAAGGGCATTGTTGCTCCTTCTTCCACTACCAAGTAGCCGGAGTACGGTACTAGTCTTCAAAGCGCTCAAACCCACACGAGCGGGTCAGGGAGAAAAGGCTTCAAGTCGAGGCCTACTTCCGACACGTCTGGCGGTAGTGTTCCCAAGCGAGGAAGGATTGTCTGGTCACGGTTTTCCACCGGAAGGTGATCTCCTGAATGTAGGTACAGCGGAGGTTTCTTTGAACCGAGGCTCTAAACACCAGGAAAAGGCCACAGGTCTCAGTAGTTGGGCCACAGACATGCGAACGTTGAGGGGGTCCCCTTATACTTCACGTAGGCTAGCAAAGTGCAGTCATTAGTTCGGCCACACACTCCTCGTGTGAACAAGGGTGGAGGTTCGGGGGAGGTGGTGGGGTCAAAAACTTCCCCACTCCCAAATAGTTCCAGGCATTCGATGACTTCCAGACATTTATCCCCCCCCCTTTCGTTAAGGACCATCTGACCTTCCCATCCCTGCCAGGGACTCCCGATCCTCGACCCATGACGAAGTAAATAGCATTCTGTTTCTGAGAATAGGTGCTGAGAATAGGTGCTGAAAATGTTAAGTCGGACCCGGGTAGTCCTCAGGCCGGAATACTCCCCCCACCCCCCATGACAAAACACGTGGCTGGTCTGTTTACGATTCTCAAGGTCCAAGTACAACAAAAATACAAACAAAAGAGTCAGTGGTCAATAGAGAGTAAGGGTCGGAAAGGACTAACAAAGTGGACCGTAGGAAAGGACACATAGGGACACGAGTAGTCGCAGTCAGGGGGCGGGGACTAACAAGTTACAAAGGAGTAACAGTACACCAATTTAAGGGACAGAGGTCACCAGGAGCAAGTCAAGCAGTTAGAGAACGATACCAGTCCAAGATACGAGGAACACGAAACTTTTCAAAACTAAGGGAGTATGCAACCTCGCAAAAGTAAAAAACAAGAGATAAAAACAGTAGAGTCGATCTCCTAAACTATCAAATGAAAAAACAACAGTACACATAAACCTTTTATTTCGAACATGTTTGAACATTGAGGCAGAGGGCCCAGCACGTTACCCAGATTGTAGGGATTCACAGACTCAGCATTGTGTCAGGGGCGTGTTTTCACCCCTTGGTGGACTTTCCCAAGAGTTAAGAAATTAAAAGGGGGGGAGTCTTTTTGAGGGAGCCAGGAGACCATCAACTGCCTTTGACCTAAGTGGGGCGGGTACAACTTTCCTGAGTATTAAAAGGTGTTACGTAGCTCCTCCGAGAGACCTCCCTCGCATATATAGTGTCCTATGTGACTACCCAGGGAGGTGCCGAGGACGCGTCCTACATAAAGGCCGGTTGTCACTACAACGCCACTATAGTAGGTCAGAGACTAAACACAATGCAGAATGATTGGACGGTCCAAGGCGACGTTGAGAATGATGAAAATTTAGGTCCGACTTTGATAAAGAAAAACAGCGACGAAAAACTAGACTTGTATAGAATGCTGACGTGACATTGAAAATAG